CTCCATCCTTCCATCCATTGGACCGAGCAGCGCTTGTAGAAGGCAGGGTTACTTTTACAGTTGACTGCAAACATAGGATTTGCACAGTCCATTACCAGGACAATATGCAAATTGATTTGAATTCCTAGTCAAAAAGCAAAAACAAGTTAAAAGTTAAAGCAAGTAGACCAAAGTATATAGACGTGGAGAGATGAGAGTAGCTGGCACCAGTTTAGCAGGTAGCTCAGACATGAAGAGCCCCTTAGGGAAGAAGCAAGATACTGCACAAGCTAGTCAACACCTTAAGCACTTAGAGACTTCTGTATAAAGTGTTACATAAGTCTAACTACATTACATTACATTATTTTATTTCATTTCATTTATTTGTCTCAAACAATTAAAATGTACATAAACAGAAAAAGAAAAGAGCAATCACAAAAGTACAAAAAAAACAACAAAAAAAACAAGAGACAGGACACTCCAAAAGTAAAATCAATCACTGTCGAGTGGAGGCCCTTCATGAGAAAAACACAAATACTTACAATATAAAATTCTTCAAAATGATAAAAAATCGAAAGATAAATTTTGAAATATAGAAAATGTGTAAATACCAATAAATGAGCACATTTAATTTAAAAGGTATTTCGAGATATAAAAATATTAAGATAAGCATTAAAAATTATCTGATGCTGGAAGGCAGAAAGAATTGAAAGGAATGAGACTTCTAGGAGACAAAAAGTGACTGTGGCTTAACCACTGAGTATCAGACAACACACACTATCTAAGTAACCACCTACTTGACGCATAATAGTTTGCCAAAGCCCCTCGAAACCCTTCCTCAGATGCCTTGTCTCTTATCGGCGCCAGCAGGGGTTCAAGTTCCTCGGGTGTGTATAATCCTGGAACCTCTCCAGATGACAGCAGACTGTTGATGATCTCAAGGAACTGGGGATGCACAAACTGATGATCTTCCAACATCAGTACTACCTGCTCTCCTTCAATGCCTGTCAACTGCATCACCTGAAATAATAATAAACATAATAAACAACAACAGCCTCAGAAAAAGGTTTAGTGAGTGAAGTGAGAGAACCCAGAAAATATTTATATAGCGAGATACTATCTCTTACTTATTTTATAGAGAAAAGCACAAAGAAACCAGCCATTGCTTATGATGAACTACATAGTCCAAGCGAAAACTGTAGAATTAGTGACAAAACATGCCAAATAAAGGAATCATTCACCTTAGCGCACTATATATGAGATAAAGCGAGAAAGAAACGAGGATATTGTTCATTCACGCAGGGCATATATAGGCAAGCTAGGGCAAGTCCATTATTTTTCTTTTTATGCTCGAGAGTAAGTTTCAAAGGAAACTTAGGCATGTATCGGTTTATCCAGGTAAGTATTCACAAAATAGACTTTTCTTTTAGAATTGGAATTATGTCCTAAAAGGGAACTTAAAATACATAGGTTCACCAAGGTAAGTATTCAAGAAAAAAAAAACACACAATTACATCTGCTCACAGTACATTTTATTTGTATTATTCTGACATTTATATACATAACATCCATGTTAAAGTAGACTTACATTCTTCAGATCATTTTTAAACTGTTTCAATCCATAGTTTCTGGACATCTTTGGCGTGTAGAGCTGTGCGCGATGCATAAACGACACCAGATTAGCTGCAGTCCTCCTGCCAACTCCACTACGCCCAGCAAGAAGGAGAGAGCCCCCAGGCTGGGTCAGAACCCTGTCAACACGAGCAATGTGTTCAAGAACCTCACGGAATATAAGCAGATCCAACTCGCGAGTCTCACGGCCTAGAAAACATAAAGTTTTGATTGGGACATTTCCTTATTAAAAATTTAGCTTATGATCAAAACGGGTAAAAAATAAATACCACATAATCATCCTCATTTACATTTCACTTTTAAATATAGTAAGTTTTATTGGGAATTTTTATTTTTAAATATTCAAATTACATATATACAAATCAAAGCTGGTACCACACAATCATCTTCATTTACATTTCACTGTTGTTCATTCACAAAATAGACTTTTAAATTAAACAAAATCAAAAGTGTTAAAATTGATATCTCACCATAATCAAGAACACCTTTCTCGATCACTTCTTTCAAATCTTTTGAGCTGAGCCGTCCAAGAGCTTTTCCATTCGGGGGCAGAGGAGCACCTGCACTGCTGCCCGCTTCAGCCCTTGCTCCCCATGTCACAAAGTAATTATCTAGAAAGTTATGAGGCATAATGAACAGTGAGATAGGAATAGTTGGAAGGAACAAAAACTGGATGGCAGTACAGAATATTGAGATTGCTGCCTTAAGTAATGTTTACACTTGCTCTTGTATAGCAATCATCTTTAATCACAATTGGCATTTATTTGTATGTATTGTACGAGTGATATTAATAATTGCTTTATAGTTATGACTTTCAATTTGTAATGATGCTCTCTGGGGAGAACTTGATATTTTTATAACATTTTGGCAATCCTTGGAAGGCAGCATTATGTTTTGTTTTCATGTTTTTCCAGAAATTAAATTTTAATTTGAATTCCATCAATCAATCAAACAATCGTTAAACATTTATTCAATTATTATATCAAGATACCAACATAGTTTTCAAGAGAAAAAATCTGAAGCAGTCAACAACTCACCATTGAGACTATCTAAAATGTGTCCAGCATTCCAATCCACTTGGAGAACTCCCATCAAGATGCTCTCAAATGCTGCCATTCCTTTCTCACCAACAAGTCGATCTCGGAATAGCCTCCTTGCCTCATAGGCCCACACCTCAAGGACATAGTCACTGGTACCCTCAGAGGTAGAGGCATTAAGGTCGTACCGTAGAAGAGCCAGTACCCACTGTGTCAAGTCACGAGGCGTAAATAGGTAATGACTGTAATCATCAACAGTGAATCTGGAACGCACCTGCATCAAAATTGAATGAATATTCATTTGATCATAATCTTTAGAACAAAATCATGGTGTTGCTTAAGTCTGAACAACCAAAAATCTTAAAAATCTAGGGGAGGCCATTTTTGTACGATGTTTTAAAAAAGCAATTCTAAGTATTAACATAATAAGGAGCTCTTGACTGCGAGACAACGGTAGGTTTGAGAACATAATGACATCACAAAGAAGTCATCAGCACATGCGAGAACGTTGAGTTCTAGAACACAATTTGGCCCAAATTTATGTTATGATGAGAATGGTCACAGATGAGTAAACCTGTTTTAGAGTTACGTCGTTGTCCAAATCAAAAGCTCCCTATTATGGTTAATGTTTTACCAGTTGACATGCATGGGGTGGATGACGGTAGCTACAAATCATTATACCAGCCTTAATTATAGTTTTAATAAGGTGGATTATAATTTAAAAGGTCACTGTTTTTTTGGGGCAACACAACCTTTTTTTAGCCTTATGTTACAAGGTGTTTTACAAAATATGGTAAATAATTCTCTAATTAAAACAACTTTGGTCTTTAGCTGCTTTGGTCTCCAGAATAATAAAGATAAAAGAAATTTGTTAATTTGGAACCACAGAAAAGTGGTTTTTCATCGGAGGTGGTCAAGTTCAAGTCTACTCACCATTTTAAGTAAAACCATTACATTAAGAAAATCAGTGGCGGTACTGCAGGGGCACGGGGGGAATTTACCCCCTAGAAATTTCCCCTCCCCCAGCTTGCACCCGTAGAAAAGAGGAGAAACCACAATTTGTCGGGGAGAAAAAATACTATATGTATTTTCTACATATTAGTAGACTATCTATAAATAAACTCCATCTCCTTGGGCTGCCACTTTGTCGTCGGTGGAGAAGGTCCTTATGTAACCCTGCGAGCTAAGTCGGCGGGGATTTAAAACCCTGGTAGGTCTAACTATGCCGGACAGGTCAAGGAGTATGAGAACAAACTAAGAGCAGTCCATCTGGTCCTCCAGGCTGGGGGTTGGGCTTGGTTGACAAACTCATCCCGTAAAAACATATTGTTCTGAAACTGCAACAAAGAAGAATACTACAATTAGGCTAGATAGGAACTGTGGTCGATCAAACGGCATGATGGACACTTCTTATGAAAGCTCCAACGGGGAAGTCAGGAGAGTGATGGACAGTTTCTTTAGGCCAAAGAGAGAACTTTGTATAGGAACATGGAATGTTCGCATTATCTACAAGGTATCTAAAACAGCACAAGTCATCAAAGAAATACAAAGATACAATTTGGACATCTTAGGAGTTAGTGAGTCGAGTTGTTAGGGAGACGGTTCGCACGTGGCGCCTTGGGTCGTACTGTTCCATTTTTCGAAGGGGTGTTCCATTTTGGGAACAATGGCAATTAGTCAGTTATCCAAGTAAGTATTCACAAAATAGACAGCACAAGTCATCAAAGAAATACAAAGATACAATTTGGACATCTTAGGAGTTAGTGAGTGCCGCTGGATTGGTTCAGGGCTCACAGTGAGGAACAAAGGCACACCCATTCTATATTTTGGCAAAGTAACTCTCACACTGGCAGGGTTGCATTATTGGTAACCAAGGAAAGAAAAGATTAACTCACTGAATGTTGCTCACTTACCAATCTTGTCATTGGAGGAACTCTTTATCCTCACAAGGATATTCACAAAATTTCTTGGACATCACCAAATGGTGGGGATGAAAACCAAATTGATCACATTACGATCAATAATAAATGGCGCAGTTCACTGTATTCCATTGTGCAGATGATTATAGTGATCACCACATAGTATGTGAAACTCAGGAATGTGAGAAACTGAGGAGACAAAGATTGGATGTCTCCCGTCTCAAGATTCCAGAAGTTAAGAAACAGTTCACGCTGAAACTTCAAAACAGTTTCAGTGCTCTGGAGGACACTCTTAAATCTGTAGATATTTGGCACACAGGATGTTGAAACAAAATGGGAAAGTATTAATGTTCAAACTGGCAAAATGGTTCTGAGGTGAAAATAGGCAAATAACAAGAATGGCTAACTCAACATATGTGGACATTGAGGAAAGGAAGGTCATCAGAAAAAAAATTCTCAACACAAAATTCTCAACACAATATCAATTTGAATCTTGGACCAGCTTAAAGAAGCATACAGAGAAATGAACAAGTAAGTAAAGAAAAGTGCATGTAGGAATAAAAGAATCTTCCTGGAGTCCAAGGCTGTTGAAACAAAAGAGGTTGCATGTAAAAGAGACCTAAGCAAAGTATACAAGACTACCAAGACTCTTTCTAAAATCGATTCTAATCAGTCAATACAAGTGAAGGATAAATATGGAAAACCTTTACTTCATAACAAGAGCAACCAAATAGATGGACCCAGCATTTCACTGAAATATTAAATAACCAGATACACCTGCACACCCGCACCCATCCAGATCATATCTAGACATAAACATAGAGCCGCCAACCAAGAAAGAAGTCAAGCAAGCCATTCTAGGTTTAAAAGGTGGTAAAGCCTCAGGCGTAGATTCTATTCAGGCTGAAATCCTGAAAGCCGATATCATTACAGCCACGTATGTTCCCACTGATCTCTTTACCTGCACTTGGTCAAATGGTACAATCCCTGATGATTTGAGTAAATGTCTAATTGTTAAATTACCCAAAAAGGGGGATCTAACCATCTGTGATAATTGGTGTAGCATCACTCTTTTACCAATTCCTAGCAAAGTTTTCTGCAAGATATTATATTCATGAATAGAGTCAGCCATTGACGCCAAGTTGCAACCAGAGCAAGCTGGCTTTAGAAGGGGAAGAGGATGCATCGACCAAATCTTCACTTTGCACAATATTATGGAGCAGTGCCTTGAATGGAAGGCACCCTTGCATTTAATTTTCATCGATTTTCATGAGGCGTTCAACAGCATACACAGCGACAGTCTCTGGAGAATTGTAAGTTCGTACGGTACTCCCTCAAAACTAGTACAGCTTATTAAGAGTTTCTATAACCACGTTGAATGTAGCATGCTTGTCAAAAATGGTCTTTCCGACTAGTTCAAAGTTAAATCAGGGGTTTGCCAGGGTTGCATACTGTCACCAATACTCTTTCTGATGGCAATTGACTGGGTAATGCGAAATACAACTGCAGATTCCCCAAGAGGCATCCAATGGACACCTTTTTCTAAGCTTGAGGATCTCGATTTCTCAGATGACATTGTACTTTTGTATACGAAGCACGACACGTACAAGAGAAAACATCCAGACTCTGCAGATTTGCAGAACAAACAGGCCTGAAAATCAATGAAAACAAAACAAAATGTTTAAAGATGAACACATGCCAATCAGAATCCTTTAACAATCAGTGGCAAGCATGTGGATGAAGTTGACGATTTTACTTATCTGGGTAGCAATGTAAGCAAAAGGACAGTACCAGCAAAGACATCAAATCTAGAATTAACAAAGCAAGGAACATATTCATCAAACTGCAGTCAATTTGGAGATCTCAACAATTCCGATTAAAAACAAAAGGGAAGTTGTATAACAGCATTGTGAAAGCTATCCATCTCTATGGTTCTGAGTGCTGGCATGTAACAAAATCTGACATGTAAAAATTATCATCATTCCATAATGGCTGTCTCAGGAAGATTTGCAGAATATTCTGGCCAGTAGTGATATCCAATAATGACCTACATAAGAAAACGCATTGTCAAAATATAGTAACAGAAATACGACGCCGAAGAATGAGGTAGTTGGGCCATGTCCTCAGAATGACACAACATCATATCCCAAAAGTAGCACTCAGATGGACTCCACAAGGGAAAAGAAACAGGGGCAGACCAAAAACTACATGGTGAAGAACAATTATGGCTGAACTAGAAACTGAGAATCTGAAATGGGAAACAGCAGAGAAGATGGTAAAGGATAAACAGTTGTGGAGAAACTTTGTTGCAGCCTTATATCCCAAAGGGGACTAAGTAAGTAAGTATAGATAAAATTGATTAAATGAGCCTCTGAAATCCCTAAATTGTCATATTTTTTTTGGTGGGGGGGTCCGCACCTGGACCGCTTTCGAGACATTTAAATCGACACACGATCACACTCACTTGGCTCTTGTCGGGGATCTTGCCCCCCAGATTTCAGACGCTGGCGCCGGCACTTAAGATAATTTTAATTGGAAGGGTCTTTACTTAGGGGGAAGACCTGTATTTCCAAATGTATTTATTCAAATCATTTACATTTCTTCTAGCTAGGCCAATGCAGAGCTAATTATGTGCATTTAATGTGTACTTCTAAAAGCGATGCTGCAATAATAGACACTAACCTGCTCATAGACTCGGATCATAGAGCCAGCAAGTTGATGGACTCTTGCTGTTGAGTACCACACTACATGCCTCTCCAGGCTTTGATGGAGCACAGGTCTCAGGTATGCACTGTAGATGGAATGGAGCTCATCCTGGTCAGCATAACTGAAATTACAGTAAGTGATCATCACTAATTTATGTATTCTTTTGCAGACAACAAATGAGTTTAGCTTGATAATGATGACACCAAACCATGAAAATTCCTTGGTCCTTCTTTCAATTTTATTGCGCTGCACTCTTCGTCTTTACTGCATGCAATAATGATCAATTTATGCATGAAATGAGAAGAATCAGTCTAAAGGTCAAAATAAATCTAGAAAATTTTATACAAGCAATCTAGTAATATTTAAAAAAGGTTTATTAACTCAGACAATACTTACCCTAAACAGCAAATGCGTACAATAGACGTAAATCTGGAAGTGAGCTGGTAGCGTCCTACAGTATGTGCTGCATTCATACTCGCAACAATCTGAACCCCTTCCAGACCGACCCACTCCAAGTTTGTATCATAGAACCCATTATATGTCAATAACTAAAATAGTAGACCAATATTGGTAGTGACAATGGTAGTCTCAAGTGATTTACTTTCCCATATATACTGAATGTGTTCAAGGGTACATCCAAGTCAGTTAATTTTCTGTGAGTTATTTTACATCTGGATATATTCACACCAAAATATTAATAATGGATAATATAGTGAACTATACTAGTCTATTACAGCAGTAAGTGAAGTGAAGAAGTGTACTGTGTATGTGAAAGCTTCTGTTATCTCAACGAGTCTCAAAGTATAGTGACGATAGGCCTGTATATGGTCATAATGTAATGTCATCATGACCATATTTAGGTACATATCCCATGTGTTTTAGTCCCAATTACTAATATTACAAAATATCGGCCTTATAAAGATTAACAGGAAATACACTGATATTACAATACCTGTTGCAGAAAAGCAGTGAGTTGACTGGTTCCCCACTTGTCAGGCTTTGGTAGGTTCAGATCTTTGAGGTAGAGGACCAAAGTTTCGGAGTCTTTTGGCCGGTATATGTGGCCTGTGTTGGTACTGATGACCATGCAAGTCTGCTGAAGCTTTTGAAGAATGTGAATGGGTGAGGTCTGAGCACTGCAGTGGACCGTGGCAATCTGGACTGATCGCATTTGAGAGAAGCAATGCTTGAGTACCATCCTTTTTGGATAAAGAAAAACAATCAAGTTTCAATTAAATTTTAATTTCATTGTTTTTAAGAAGCTAATTGATGGGTTGGAACTATATGCTGCCATGTTGTATGCATTTGTACTCACCCTTTGCCACAACCATCAGGGCCGACCAGTATGAATGGTTGTCGGTCTTCTGGTTTCAACCATGGCGCCAAATAATCAAAGCAACGCTGAACGCATGGCGTACTGATCACAGGTAGAGATTCGGATGATGAAAAATCATCCGCATTCAAATTTTCAGAAACCTAAATAAAATGTTAATAAAAATAATTTTGACTTTTTATCTATGTATGCTTTTGTTTTAATCCATTAGATTATTTATTTTTTAGATTTAAAGAAGATGTTAAGCGGAGTTGTATTCATCGGCTGACAGTTGTACAGCGCAGCAAGTGCCCGGTTTTACAGTAATTTTAAATTGTTTTTACGCTTGTGTATACCTGCATCTCATATGACATCAAGCTCTCCGTTCGCTCATCGTAGTAAGTATCAAGGGGTCTTCTGGAGTCAGGGGGCATCTCTTGTGTCCAGCTGAAAACCTGGAAGGTGTGAGAAATGAGTCAATCAATATCAAAAGATAAATACAGCAATACCATAGATCTGCTAACTAAACTAATGGTAGTCACAGTGTAAAACATAAACATTTGAGGTTGCTCTAGTTCAATACCTTCACCACTCTCATTTTGTTTAAGGTAGACGGTTACATTAAAGTATAGAACACTGTGTTCTATAGTAAAGTGTTTTTGTCTATCAGAGATTTTTTATAGGAAGGTCATTTAAATGCTGTTTCAATGCAGTACATCCTCACTCAGGAATCATAAAGCAGCATTCTTTTTATAGTTTTTAATATATTTTTTATATGGATAATTATTTAATCTGATGTATTTAGTTTTTTTTCCCATAAATGTGCAACTTTTAGCAGAACTTTGATAAAAAGTTTTCAGTGTTCAATATAATTAAATTGATTAATAATGAATTAAGAAGAAGAAACCATGATAAAAAAAATTATGAATTTAAGTATTTTACCAACAACCAACTTACTTCTTTAGCAAATTCCTGCCGAGTAGCTTCGTTCAAGTTACTTCCCAGACCTCTAATGAGAGACACGGTAAACTGGGGCTTACTAGCAACTCCCCACAGGTGGGACAGACCATTCCATATTACCCCCAGTTTACTGGTCTCAACTACAAAGTCATTCTTTGCTAATACCCACTGCAGACCACGGAAGAAATGATCCTCTATCCAGCCTTCTAGTTGGTTCCGGTTTTCTTCTGGGTTTTCCTTCATCCAAGACTTTACCAACTTCTTATCATCAACATCTTCCTCACTAATAATAATAATTCTGGATTTATATTCACCACTGAATAACATACAAATATATAATAATTTCTGTAAAGAAATATTCTCTACATACTGCAGTAATGCTGAACATTGTAGTTATGGAACAGCACTATATTCATTGAAGAACTCACATGAAATAGAAATCAATAATATTTGTCATTATCTTACAAAATGTGAACTGAAATGTCAGGACTTCTGAAGAGGTACTACTATTAAAAATAAAAATATAGAAATTACACTAATATTTACCCAAAAAAAATAATAATGGAAGAATGAAAAATATCAAAGACAGATTTGAAAAATTTTAATTGGAGCAAACAGTTCATATTGCATGGCCATGAGGTATGAAATCACCATACCCGTATAAGGGTGTGATATGACATTATCATGATGCCATATAAGGGTGTGATATGACATCATTATGCCTATATAAGTGTGTAATAACATCATTATGGCCATATATGGGCAAATCACACAAAGCCATTACATAAAACCACATAGTGTGAAAAGGGCCTTACCTTAGAAATATCATACCCATCCTGGAGATGGTGGCAGGAGAGGCACAGCTAAGATCATGTGTCTCAAATAAGAAGTTGACATTTGGACCAAACTGGATACGTTCTCCCGAAGGCATCGTCAACAATCGATTATCATCAAGGACTGAATTCAGTGACTCAATCCATTCAGGGTCGATATCGCCATCACAGATTATCCATGACTGAACCTCTATCGAAAAAACAATCAGATGTAAAAAATATTTGACAAAAAACATGTGGCATGATTAAATATGGTCATTGATGACATCACAACATGACCATATATAGGCACATCATGACTATATATGGGCATACAATAAAATTTGATAGTCTGGACAGGGCTCAAATCTTACGCCGGCCTAACAGTCTGTCAGTCTTAACAGATATTATATCAGATATGTCTGATGAAGTAGAGCTAGCACGGTGCTTTGAAAATCCTTCATTGATTGACCAGCTAATTAAAGGGTAAGGTACACAAAGAATCTGTCAATTATTATTATTACCAATAATAGACTGGTGAAATATGTTGTTTTAATTTCTTATTAAAGCTAATAACCTAAAGCTACTTAAATATAAAGTTAAAAACTTTATTTAAAAATTAAGTGGTTTTTTTTTTAAATATCACTGCAAAATCGTTTCATACCTTGAGGCTCCCTGACCACTTGTCTAGCACTGCTGGTCAGTACCCCATCTGACCATTCTCTGGTGTCCATATCAATGTATCCGAGTAGCTACAAGAAATAATATAAAAATATTCAAATAATATTTGTATTGATTATTTAATATATACCAGGATATAATAATGAGATATTAAGGATGTGATAAATGCCTTTTGACCATATGTGGCAAAGTCAAGCCAAACCAGTCACTCATTGCAAATCCTGGTTTAGAGATAATGGCCGAAACATGCTGGAATGTCAACATTTTTGAAATCTATTTTAGTGCACTAAACAACCTTTATATATCTATATTTCATACTAAGCTGTTATTTTTCCCATTTTCTATGTTATACCAACAATTTTTAATGATTTGATGGTTTCTGCCTGAGAATGCTCAAAATTATGAACAGATTTATTGTTCTTTAAAAAGCTGTATGTTTAAACTCCTGTAACTTCATAATGAAATGTTGGATTTAAATGATTCTTTTACCATTTTATAGCCCTCATTTTACTATTTAACCCAGTGTTGATAAATTAATATCGATTTTTGCAACGAGTGACTGGTTTGGCTTGTCTTCGCCACATATTGTGCTGTTATATTTTTCCTTAATTTACTTTGATTAGTGTTAGTATTGGATTTACTTGCATTTGAAAGTTTAATGCCTTAATTTAATGGCCCAATTCTAAGTTCTTATTAGGAAGGAATGTTTAAGATTAATTTCTGTTGTAATATTCGATATGATGTTTCAGTTAAAAGCAGTTATAAATAATAATAATAATAATAATAATAGTAATAATAATAATTAATAATAAATAATAATAATAATATTCTAAGTACTACTCTATGTGGAATACACCACAATACTTCTAATGGATTTGGATGTCTCTTATACTATTTATCTAAGCTACAAGATCATTAGCACACCTGAGTTCTTGGGATGGCTTTGGGATTCATCGTATACTGCTTCACCTGCTGCCCAATCTTGCTTAGAGCAGCACGCAACATCTTCCAAGTGGTGGACTTCCCAGACCCACTGGGACCAACCACCACAACACCTGTCCTCTGGCGTAGCTGTTCGTACAGCTCCATTGCTTTCTTTATCTGTGAAAAGTATTGCATTAGAGAAATTAAGCACAAACAATTTTTACCATGATACTTAACTTCCTAAGCCTCATAAAAAGACTTAAACCCTATTCAGACTATAAAATTTTATTTGACAAAACCATGTGACATACCTAAATATGGTCATGATGACATCAGACCATGACCATATATAGGCACATCATGACTATATATGGGCATACCACAGTTTTTTGTCAAATAGAATTTGATAGTCTAAGGCCTTAGTAATATGAAGTATCATTCCATCCAGTAATTGGTGAGTTGCTAATGGATGAGAAAAAAAAAAAACATTATGGTACAAAGTTAACGATCAGTAATAAAATTAGTATTTTACTGACAATGGCCATTTACCTGTGTTGGCATGACAACCATATTACTTTCTGCACAGACCTCTTTAAGAGCATTTGAGAGTTTCTCAAACTCAATGTCTTTGAGTTCAACTCCTAAGAAGACGTCCCTAACCAGCGCATCAAATCGTTTAGCATCGGAGAATGTCAGCTTTGAGATTGTGTTCACCCTCAAGGCCTGCACTATCAGCTTACACTCTTCGATGTTTACAGGACCTGAGCAAAGAATTCCATCAGATTTATCAGTAAACAATAGTTTCTGCGTAGGTGCCGTTACGTGCTGGAACAATCAGTCGGTTCTATTTTTGCCGTGGGGTGTACTTTAAGGAACAATGACAATTGGTTGATTTATCAAGGCAAGTGTCCACGAAAAAATCAATAGTTCCTTCACTTATTTATTTTTTTAAATTTCTTGGACACCACTCAATTTTAATAACCAAAGAGCAATAATAATGTTTGGTCTTTATAGCTAGCATTATATTCAATGAGTTTCCAAAATTAGGAAGCTTCGACAGGACGACAGTAGGATATAGAATGTAATGACGTCCCAAAAGTCATCTGCACATGCAAGAATGTTAAGTTCTTGTTGTTGCATGGATTCTAGAATGTAATTTGCACAAACTTACATTGCGCAGAGGACGGTCATGAATGAGTAAATCCGTTCTAGCTTAGCATGCAAATCGAAAGCAACTCCCCAAAGAGTAATGTACTAGTTTTGTCCTTGGTGGACGAACACATAAACTTGTACTGAGTACCCATATATTCTGAGTGTAGAGATACGTACAAACATAAAATACCAAGAGAAAAACGTTCTTTGAATACATTAAATAGTCATGTGACTTACCCTTATCGTCTGCTTCATTGGCCTGTTGCCTAGCTTGTTGCAGCCTATTACCACAGCCTCGTAGCACAGTCTTTAAGGCTCTCAGTCCCCAATCATAGTGCTGCTGGGGGGTTAAAAGCTCCCTAACAAATAAAATTTGTGTGGTTGTTAAAGTAGTTTATTAATATAAATTGCATTTATTTCTTAGAATTATCAACAAATATATAATTATAATCACTGTGTCATAAATTTTTATCTCTTTCATTGTCATCTTTCGTCGTCATCATGATCATCATCTTCCTCATGCTCCAATCTATGTCATCATGACCATATTTATAGGCATTATTAACAATCATCATTGCAAATTTTTTTCGCTAGTATTTGGGGACGTACTGAGTATTCGGTATAATACGTCAGGTAGGGCAAAATATTACTCCTATAAGGACCATTACCTGTATTCAACTACCAACTTACTTGGAGAGGTTAAAAATGGCCACAAGTTTTCTGCCTAGCTCCTTTGCTTCTTTGAAACCCTCCGAAAACAAAATGACCTCCGCAATCAGTTCAATATCAGGCTGTGACATTGCTACCGGTCTGAACAGCTGCTTCAAATTATCGGGAAGTTTCTTACGACCACCGTAACCTTTTCCAGCCGGGTTTAAAGTGATGAATATACCAGAATTTGGGTCAATATCAATCTGAAAATATATAGAGGGCAGTATATAATCAGAAACACATACATTACCATTATAAAATGCAAGATTCATGAGCCATGTATACTAAAATTATAATTATTTAGAAAGCAATATATTTCAGTTGGATGAACTGGTGGTAGCCGCTGTGTGTGCGGTGAACCGTGAAAATTCTTTCAGACTATATTCCAACTCTGCTTTTCTTGTGTTTAATCTGGAAGCTGAAATGCAAGTTAAGTGGAAGAGGCATTTAGGTCAATGGCTTCATGTGCTATCTGGTTCATGTGCATATGTTAAAGAATGAAGTACACACTCTTTGGAAAAGATCAGAGGATTGGCTCTTATTAAAATTTATCAACCAGAAAGACTTTCCTGAGAAATCCTTTATGCAGAATGAATGTAATAATATCTAAAATTCTATCCAGGGGTTTTTATATTATTTTCATGTATGTAAGTATGTGTAGTGCCATATTTGTATTTTCATGTGTAAAATGCATGTAATGAACAAACAAGTGATACTTACAATTCTACCAAGAAGTTCACAAGTTAGTTTCCTGCTTTTCATTGTTGCTTGGATTGTTTGGATCGGCGTTGAAACAGTCGACAACACAGGCTCCTCCAAGCGGTTGAACTCATCAAAACATCCCCATGCTCCGCACTTTACTAAACCAATAAAGATCCTTCCCATTGACTTCACATCAATAGCCTACATAAAACAGATAAGAATAATGGGTCACTCACAATTATCAACATTTTCACCAGTGTACAATCTCGGGGAGAGGGTATGGACAAATACGTACACTTTTTACATATGCATTAAAATGTTGATTCAAAAGAACATGTAACATTAACAATAATAGAATTTTATGACTAATTATAATGCAATCATGGATATAATACACATTTTTATGTAAACCAAACAGTAGTTTTTGTTTTCTTTCTTCAAATGGTTTTGCAAAATCAACATTTTTTAAGAACACTTTCAGAGAGGGAGTACAAACAAGCAAGTATACAAACAGTAATAAAAGATTACTGTTTGTACAGAAGTGAAAAATTATTGATAATTGTGAATGACCCCTAGATATGCAATTTCAGTATATTGTCCTTTATAACATATACAAATCTTTTAAGCAACGTACAAATACTTTAAATTAAACAGATATTTCTAAAACTTTTTCTCTATTTTATAGAGAAAATTAGACTTTTATAAGCAACTCAAATTAGAAATTTTGCATGGGCCCATGGGGACTTAACGGAGTCACAATGCAGTGCCAGTAACACCACGTAACATTTAAACGTTCTCTTTTTGTCAAATTCCCACATGATGGGTTTTAAAGAAGCCAAATGATCTCCCATTAAAACCAGAATATTTATACAAGATTTCTTTTTTGTAGATTAAAACAAAACAGATTTCTACTGAAATTAAGAATTTTTTATTAACAATATTAATTTTAAAGCCTTGTCCAGACTATCAAATTTTATTTGATAAGAAAACTTGCATGCTCAGATATAGTAATGATGTGCTTATATATATAGTTATGATGTGATGTCATCATGACCATATTTAGGCATGTCACATGTTTTTGTCAAATTTGATAGCTTGGACAGACTTTTTAGCTAAATTAACATTACTTACCTCATCACAGTTGAAGACAAGCACTTGGCGTCCAAACAACCCTCCGAGAGCCTTGACTGACTCCGTCTTCCCGGTTCCAGCGGGTCCGTATGGATTACCTCCCATTCCCATATACATTCCTTGTGTGAGAGTGAGGTAACACTTGTCAGTGAGAGGTGTGTGCACCAGTTTGGCTGCATTACCTACAAAAAGAAAATTGCTAAAAGCTTATTCCCTAATAATATTAAAGAACAATAACATAATAATAATAATAATAATAATAATAATAATAATAATAATGTAAGAATTTTAAAATTAATAATAATAACTCAAACCATAACATTTAATAAAACAAAAGAAAGTAGTTAAAGTGACTAATTTAGTGATAAATATTGAATAAAGGCAGACAAAATAAAGCACATCAAGGTTTCCAGACTATTTTATGTCTTTTCCTTACAAAGAAAAAGCAATTTAACAACAACATAACAATTTTACTATATGGAAGGACTAATGTTCTAAAATAACATTAAGCAAAAATAATAACATGTCAAACACTAATTCGACTTCACCCGACCAGTCGGGTATAGAGTGGTAAAGGACTTGTACTAAATTTTTCAGAATTAAAAAAAAATCTGAGAAAAAAAGAAAATTCTACTCAGATTTTGAGTCTAAAGAGTGCCATTTCCTGCCATCTAGGGGCCATAATCATAATATTTCTTACCTCAGCCCCAACCATGGTGGGGCTGAGGTAGTATAGATCCCCCCACCTCCTGTAAAAGTCCCTCTTCGGGAC